AGTAGTCCAATTGCAATATCCGAATTGTTACGCTTTTTATTATAATTCTTTTTTAAATATATTGACTACTATATCATATAACCCCCACCTGCCCTATTAAATTAAGCACCAATATCAATCCATTAACGGATTCTTCGAAACCCAGCTTCTCATTCAATCGAGTGTCTTAAAAATACTAAAATATAATATATGAAATTTATTTTGTTTGAGGTGATGAAGGACTGCTAGATAAATTTTCCCGCAATAATATGAGTAGACTTTACAGTTACATTGAATTTTACATATCCAGGATGGGCTGCATTTTTGATCTCGCCTAGGTCTTATCAACATTCCTAGCGGGACTATCACAGTGCAGCATGTATTCTCGACAAATTAACCACTATGTCACATTGCCACGAGTGCTTTTGGGTCACAGGGCAAATATGAATTTCAAGGAAGGCCAGGCTTTTTTCCATATAACCTGTGGTGGGGTTATTGATGAATAAATGTTGTACTTGCATTAGCAATTGATTACATCACTTATTTTCCATTTTTATGAGGGGCTTCGAGACTGCCATTATGATTATATATATGAGATCTAAAGCTTATATCTAAAAAAATTAGGTAATGTAGTCGATTGCTCTAGTAAATACGACTGCTTCATCGGCACTACCGTCACAGGTGATATGTAAAATGTCTAACCTTTCCTGAAACTCACGTCTATCCACTGAGCTAAGGGCACTCGTGGCAATGTGGCGTATTGGTTAGCATATCAAGGTTTTACGCTGCACTCTCATAGTTTGAGTCCCGCTGGGAGGGCTGATGACGCGAGGTCGAAACTGCAGTCCACTTTGGATGTAAAGACCTGTTGGGGAAGCAAAGTCATATGAAATTCAAGGGAAGCTTAATGCTTACTCATTTCATTGGGAAACTTCAACTACTAGTCTCTATCACCGTAAACAACACAGGGTGATTAGTTTTCATATATATGATCTACTAATAGTCTCAAAAATCTACTTATAAAAAATCTCAAATATAATCAATTTGGTTAATCGAAGATATGAAGACCAGGATGGTGTAGACTTCTGTATGGTCGCGGTCTCCTTTCGTCGTATATAAGTTGTTTGACCTTGTTTTCGCAACTTGGTCATATTGGCAGGAAGATCTAGAGGAACGCATCTTGTCCGGGGTTCATAGTATGCATGCTTATTTCAAGTGTGGGACTGTGGACGTGGTACATTACCAGACGTTTCGCCGACATCGTCAGTGAGCCTTGCCATTCTTAGCACCACACTACAACTCGTCAAATAGACAAGTGAAGTCGATCCTTTGACCAAATGCATGCTAAAAGTTGTGGTATATCTCCTGTCCTAGGATATTCACTTATCCTATATCCTCGTATCACTTGTTTATCTAGACCTATTTGAAATATATTCACACTCCTTGCTAGTTTCCTCATCCTTCCCACTGTGCCGGGAGTTTTGATCCTAGGCTGAGTTTTAATCCGCAATCCTTTCTCTAGTCCTATCAGAATCCTCTCTTGTTCCGTAGGATCCTTCTCATCAATTATTTAACTCTATCCCTACCATCATATCCGTGTTACTCTAGGCGTTGTTCTACGATCTGCCTCAAGCCTTTGATAGTACGTATACACCAGCCTCACTGAACAAGCTCCTAAAGTCTGGATTCTCATTTAGCATGACAATCTAACTTGATGCTGCTGATTCCCTTATTGCTGTGTGGCATGTGCACTAAGTAAATATCTTGGTCAAGCCTTTACTTCATGGACCACGTCTATGAACAAACTTTTCTATTAATAGCCAACTAGAAATGGCCAGCACCGTTTCTCGCTCTTCTATGGCCTATTGCGTGCCAACCTCCGAATATGATGATTCTGCTTGGTTTTAAGGCATCTTCTTTTGATTTCAGATAGTTAATCTCTGCTCTCCTTGTAATTTATTTTCTTAAAATTAGCCTACGAATCAAGGAAAACCAAAAGCTCTGCAGAAACATGAACACTGAAAGATCTGAAATAGCGGAACACATTGCACAGACGGGACACGAAATCGAGTGGAAATCGACAGAAGGACTGGCTGCATATGGTGGAAATACAAGAAAACGTGATTACGTGAAGACATTGATATCCTGATTGAAAGAAACCTAATGAACAGGAGACTTAAGGAAGGCATGATTAACGAAAACTTTGCATACTGGTTAAAAAAAATAGGAGATCAGAAACAGCAATATCGGCAAAAAGAAGACGACTGGACAAGGGTACTACTTTTAATTTTAGGAAGAGAAATTACAAGGATAGGAACAATTGCAAACCAAGAGAAGACGTCTACAGTGATCCTATTCAAATCAAGTTAAACCATCAGATTTGGGGGTTGGCACTCAATAGAATGTCATAGAAGAGCGAGAGAAACGGTGGTAGCCATTTCTAGTTGATTGTTAGTAGCAAAGTTTACTTATGGATATAGTTAATGAAGTAGAGGCTTAACCACGAGGTTTACTCATTGCACATGCCGCACAGCGATAAGGGAATCTGCAGCACCAAGTTAAGTTGTCATGCCAAATGAGAATCCAGACTTTAGGAGCTTGCTCAATAAGGCCGGTGTATACGTGTGATCTAAGACTTGAGGCAGAGTGTAGAACAACGCCTAGAATAACACGGATAAGGAATGAAATCACTGGCACAGGCAGATAAAAGAAGGATCCTACGGAGCAAGATAGGATTGATATGACCTGAAAAAAGGGGATTGCGGACTAAACCTCAGCCTTGGATCAATACTCCCGGCACACTGGGAAGGATGAGAAAACCAGCGGGGAGTATGAATATATTTCAAATAGGTCTGGATAAACAAGTAAGGTAGTGATACGAGTATATATGATAAGTGAGTAGCTCATGATAGAAGGAGAGATACCATAACTGTTTAGCACACATTTGGTCAAAGGATCGACTTCATTTGTTTCTTTGACGAGTTGTAGTCTGTGCTAAGAATGGCAAAGCTCACTGACGATGCCAGCGAAACGTCTGGGAATGTACCAAGTCAACGGTCTGACTTTAAAAATTATCATGCATACTATGGACTCCGGACAAGGTACGTTCCTCTAGGTCTTCCTGCCAATATGACCAAGTTGCGAAAACATGATCAAGCAGCTTCTTTAATACCTTTGGTTTATATGCATAAGGACTTCACATTGCTCATCGTTCCTTGCTTCTTTATTCTGATTTCTTCAAAAGCGACTAATCAATTGGACAGTCTGCATGTGTTCATTAAATTTGCATAGTTTCTATCTCACTTCATCAATGCAAAGTCGTTTTGCGCCCAGATTTGTCCCTCTATGGCAGCCGGCAGCGGCATTAAATTTAACTACTGAGTGCTGCCTCACCTTTTACTCTATCTCCTCTCCACTCCTATCTTAGGTCATAAATATATATTTATTCTTTTCTATCCAGCTTCTACGTGAAGCTACTAGCCGTGGTCTCAGTACTGCTGCTGAGGAGATCTCGCGCTGTCAGGCTCGTCGCGCCTGGCCACCTACACCTGCTCCCAGCGTCACTGTTTGCCCAGCCACTGTTTCTGCGACTTACGCAGCCGCATCAGTCCACAACAGTTGTTTACCCCTCTCCTGGATTATCCGGGACGCCCCACGAGCAAATTGCTTGGTTGATCGGTTGGTACGACGATGCCTTTTTGAGGCTTCTGTTTGGCGGACTGGCTTTTGGCAGATGGACCGAGTTTATTCACCTGATAATTTGGCTGATGTGGCCGAAGACGAGATGAGCAAAGTGGATGATCAACAGAAGCATCAAGAGCCCGAAGCCGACCCTAACTGGAAATTATTGGAGGATGAAATAATCGAACTAGCGACCATATTGCATGCTGCATTAGCCGCCTCTCTCTCAAGCCAGAGTAGTAGCTTTTCAGTACTGAATGTAATTCAGCAGTCTGTCCGTTTTACAATGTGAAAGTTAAACTTTAAATTACTTTTTATTTTTTACATCACTATGGATCACTACGAGGCACGCTGCGAATGTTCTTGCCTTAACATTTAAATGCCCTTTACATTTTGGATAAGGAAGATGGGATTGACTATAAGCATATGTATTTTTAAAATGTTATACGATTATTAAATTTGCATCACCATGCTTTGCTGCGAATAGAGTGGTGACTATGAAGAGGATACGGCTTCGTTGGTTTATATTCTGTCGTTGGCATAATGCATTACT